ACCCGGCCCAGACAAGGTCAGACCTGAACACCTGAAGAACCTGCCGTCAGTACTCATCAATACACTGGCTCGGCTCTTCACTCGCTACCTGTCTGAATGCAAGGTTCCGTCCCAATGGAAAACCAGCAGGACCGTACTACTGTTCAAGAAGGGAGACATCCATGACATTGGCAACTATCGCCCGATCTGCCTATTGTCTGTCATCTACAAGCTGTTCACTCGAGTCATCCTGAATAGGATTGGCAGAACACTAGATGAAGGACAACCATGCGAGCAAGCAGGGTTCCGCAAAGGATTCAGCACCATCGACCATATCCACACGGTAACCAAGCTCATTGAGGTTTCTCGGGAGTTCAAGATGCAGCTCTGCTTAACGTTCATTGATTTAAAGAAGGCCTTTGATTCTGTTGAGACGGAAGTGGTCATTGAAGCCCTAGCCAATCAGGGCATTCAAGCCCAATACATCAGGATCCTCCGTGAGCTGTATTGCGGATTCACTACCAGGATCTCACCATTCTACAAAGAAGTGATCGTTGATGTCAAGAGAGGGGTGCGGCAGGGTGATACCATTTCACCAAAACTCTTCAGTGCCACCCTCGAGAACATCATGAGACGACTGGAATGGGAAGGAATGGGAGTGAAGATAGATGGTCGGCAACTACACCACCTCCACTTTGCTGATGACATTGTTTTAATAACACCAAACATCAGCCAAGCAGCACAAATGCTGGCCGACTTTGACCGTGAGTGTGGAAAGGTAGGACTACAGCTGAAACTTACGAAGACAATGTTTATGAGAAACAGCCTTGTTCCTGACGCCCCATTCGCTCTCAATGGAACGACCATCTCCGAATGCAACAGCTATGTGTACCTAGGTCGAGAGGTCAACATGAGAAATGACCTGGCACCCGAGCTGCACAGGAGGAAGAGAGCGGCTTGGAACGCCTTCAAGAACGTCGAAGAAATAGCTAAGAGGACGAAGAACCTCCGGCTTCGGGCACATCTCTTTGATTCCACTGTTCTTCCTGCATTAACATATGCCTCAGAGACCTGGGCCCTAGGCAAACAGGATGAGAACGCCATTCAGGTCTCCCAAAGAAGAATAGAAAGAGCTATGCTTGGAATATCACGTTTCACTCAAATGAGAGAACGAATCCGGAGTTCTGACATCTGTCGACGATCAAGGATCAGGGACGCTGTCTCATATGCCAAGGTGTCGAAAATCAGATGGGCTGGTCACGTAATGAGATTTAAAGACGACCGTTGGACTAGAGCTGTTACTGATTGGATTCCACGGGATGTCAAGAGACCACGTGGCCGCCCACCTACCAGATGGTCAGACTTCTTTGTCAAGATCATGAACGATCGGGTTGAGGCCCTCCATGTTCACGGAGCGAAGAGATGCCATTGGGCTACACTACCACGCGACAGGGACAAATGGAGACGTTACTGGCGCCCGCTCGAGCAAATCAACGATTAATGGGAAGTTAAGTGATTAAGTGATTAAGTCCTGATGGATCCATCACATCCTCCAGAACGGCAATGGAGATTATCCATGACTTCTACTCAAATCTCTTCGATAGCCATGTCCACTTGCCGACATACCAAATTCCACAGGATGGATATGTCGTTCCCAAAGTTCTCCCTTCCGAAATCCGACTCGCCATTTCGTCGGTAAAGAAAGAAACAGCACCCGGCCCAGACAAGGTCAGACCTAAACACCTGAAGAACCTGCCGTCAGTACTTATCAATACACTGGCTCGGCTCTTCACTTGCTACCTGTCTGAATGCAAGATTCCGTCCCAATGGAAAACCAGCAGGACCGTACTACTGTTCAAGAAGGGAGACATTCATGACATTGGCAACTATCGCCCGATCTGCCTATTGTCTGTCATGTACAAGTTGTTCACTCGAGTCATCCTAAATAGGATTGGCAGAACACTAGATGAAGGACAACCATGCGAGCAAGCAGGGTACCACAAAGGATTCAGCACCATCGACCATATCCACACGATAACCAAGCTCATTGAGTTTCTCGGGAGTTCAAGATGCCGCTCTGTTTAACGTTCATTGATTTAAAGAAGGCCTTTGATTCTGTTGAGACAGAAGCGGTCATTGAAGCCCTAGCCAATCAGGGCATTCAAGCCCAATACATCAGGATCCTCCGTGAGCTGTATTGCGGATTCACTACCAGGATCTCACCATTCTACAAAGAAGTGATCGTTGATGTTAAGAGAGGGATTCGGCAGGGTGATACCATTTCACCGAAACTCTTCAGTGCCACCCTCGAGAACATCATGTGACGACTAGAATGGGAGGGAATGGGAGTGAACTACACCGCCTCCGCTTTGCTGATGACATTGTTTTAATAACACCAAACATCAGCCAAGCGGCACAAATGCTGGCCGACTTTGACCGTGAGTGTGGAAAGGTAGTACTACAGCTGAATCATACGAAGACAATGTTTATGAGAAACAGCCTCGTTCCTGCCACCCCATTCACTCTCAATGGAACGACCATCTCCGAATGCAACAGCTATGTCTACCTAGGTCGAGAGGTCAACATGACAAATAAATGATCTGGCACCCGAGCTGCACAGGAGGAAGAGAGCGGCTTGGAACGCCTTCAAGAACATCGAAGAAATAGCTAAGAGGACGAAGAACCTCTGGCTCCGGGCACATCTCTTTGATTCCACTGTTCTTCCTGCATTAACATATGCCTCAGAGACCTGGGCCCTAGGCAAACAGGATGAGAACGCTATTCAGGTCTCCCAAAGAAGAATAGAAAGATCTATGCTTGGAATATCATGTTTCACTCAAATGAGAGAAAGAATCCGGGAGTTCTGACCTCCATCGACGATCAAGAATCAGGGACGCTGTCTCATTTGCCAAGGTGTCGAAAATCAGATGGGCTGGTCACGTAATGAGATTTAAAGACGACCGCTGGACTAGAGCTGTTACCAACTGGATTCCACGGGATGTCAAAAGACTGCGTGGCCGCCCACCTACCAGATGGTCAGACTTCTTCGTCAAGATCATGAACGATTGATTTGAGGTCCTTCATGTTCCCGGAGTGAACAGATGCCATTGGGCTACACTAGCATGCGACAGGGACAAATGGAGACGTTACTGGCGCCCGCTCGAGCAAATCGCCGACTAACGGGAAGTTAAGTGATTAAGTGATTAAGTGACTACACTCAATCTACTGTGCACTACTGTTGTTATGGCATTCATCATTCAGTATTCAAGAGCTGAGCAGAGGATTACTAGATAGACATTTAAATGTTCAGGGAAAGATAGATAGTACAGGAGGTAAGTCACTTGTTCTGAGGAGACACAGAACTCAGGGCAACCCTATGTCTTCAGTACCAAATGGCTTTAAGGTATATCATGTGCCTCTGTCTAGTTCTCTTAAAGGTAAAACGTTCCCCAGACCCCCATGAAAAGACATGTACATGGTCTTTTAACATAAAATTCCAGAAACAGCAAGTTTCTCAAAGTGTTAAGAGGCTGTGTAACCATCTACATATCAACATTCAGCTGTTTTGCAGTCTTTATCTTGGGGAATGAGGGTGTGAGATTGTCAGGATGCTCTTGGTTGGAGTTTTGCAGCTATTCATGATCAGCTACATTCATTTTTTGAGTTTGAGTCAAGTTCAAATTCCTTAAACACAAGCACATAGTGGTTCTACCTTACTTTCTCTGCCTTTCTGACTTCTTCTGGTAATGTTTGTAAGTGGACTGTCGTGTACACTCCCCTCTGAATCAAGACCACTTTCTCCTTCTTGGCCATATTGATGTTCCTCCAACATCCCTAGAGATCCCATCTTTCATTGCTTGATCTTATATCAATCTGACCTCCATAATTTCACTTTGCTTATTTTGTCACTTATGTTTCCTCAGATCCTAGATTATGCCCAAACCCCTATAGAGGATGTTTAATGAATATTCCTACAATCAATCAATTCTACTTGTGAAAAATTATACCTGTAAAAGAGGCAAAAAGACATGCTTAGTAGCTAAAAAGTAGCTTAGTTATAAAATGAAAAGATGTCATAACAGAGATATAGCAGAGGTTTTGGTTTGCAGGTGTTGCATGGATAACACCATTGGCTGATTCCAGCATTATGTAGCTTCTCTTCAATTCATGCTCTGTGCACCCCCCGTCCCCCAGCTCACCACAGCCAGTGTGGTCCTGGAAGTCCCTAGTCCCACAGGTCTCAAATATCTTTGAAACCATAGGCATTGCACTTAACTATTTATTCCCTGCTGCTTTGAGTGGGGCTTGGGCTCCCACCCTGAATCTATATCCTATGAGAAAGGTAATGTAAAGGAAAATTGTTCTCAATTCTGAAAAAATCTCATACCATTAAAGGCCAAAGATTTGTTCTTGAATCCCTTGTGTTTCTTAGTGGCTGTGTAAGCTGTGTGTGTGGAGGTGAGGGGTCTACTTTTCTTTGGGGAGTGGGATTGAGGGGGATATCAAGTCACACTCAGTGATATTCAAGGCTTATCCCTGACTTTGTTTTCAGGGATCAATCCTGGCATTGCCAGGGGGACCATATAAAGAGTCTGATATGGAAGTGGAGGTCCACTGAATGCAAGGATATTGTCTTAACTTTGGGGGATACTGAAGAGAAGAGAAAAAAGAATATCATAATCTTTGGCATTAGAGAGCCTGTTTTTTTTCCAGATACATTTGAAGTTGAAAGGCAGGCACTCTGTTGCTTATATTCTCTTTCCTATAGTTATCAAGAGTTTCTGCTCTGAGAGAGTCATAGTTTTCATTTGAAACTGAAAATTTGTTTCCTTTGACAGTGAGTTGTTAGAGAAGATAAAATTGTGTATGTGAGAAAGCTTTGTTTTTTTTTTCTTGAGTCAAAAGAATTATAAAGAATTATTTAGAATTATGGGGCAATATCATCCTCTATTCAAGTACTAGGACTTTCCCCTTTGCACAGGACTTGGTCTTTGAGGGTTCCTGTGTTCAACTGTACTTACTGTAGCCAGTAGAGAATCCAAGAAGTTGCCAGAGAAGACAGTGCCTGTGGCAAAGGCCGTGCTGAGATGCAGGTTTGTCCCTGGAAAGGGTCCTTCCATTCCACTCAGCTGTTCAATAAAGTGGATATTGGCAGGATTTTCTGAAAGGCAACGGGGGAAAAAAAGAAAGGTAAGCAATAACATAAGAGTATGAACCGTCAGTACCAAAGCAATCAAGGATTGACCACTTGATTGAAGGATTGAAGCCTAGTTTGGTATGATTGTGGAATATGCTCCTACTCTGCACATTTTTTCCTTTTAAATTATGTCCACCCCCACTGCCCCATACACACCTGTGCACACACATATAAGACACATATCCGTTTTGGAGAACCTTAATCTCTAAGGGACTAGTTTTGGACCTCAGGTTCCTTTTCTACAGAAAATGCCCTGATTTTCACCCTTTATATAATACATCTTTCAAACCAAGATATTTAGGTAAATGAAACGAGGTAGAGAGGAGGAAGTCTCAATAATTGAACAATAAGAGAAATAGGAACACATGATAAACACAGATATTATTTTTCTTTATATTTGTATTGATGAACTTCCGGACTTAGCTTGTCCCAGAAAGGGCTAAGGTAGTATCTCTCAAAACATAATGTGCATATAAATAACCTAGGAATCTTGTTATGTGGAAGATTCTGATTTATCACTGTAGGATTGGGGACCAGGGCCTGAAATGTTCAGAAATCTTCCAGCAGTTGTTGATGGTGATGATTTAAGGCCTACCAAGAGCTAAGAGAATCATTCTAATTGATACCAGTGTAATGGATAGTGATCAAATTACCCATTACCTTATCCTGTAGGATTGCAACTAGCCCCACAGAGCACTGTAAATGATTTTGCACAAAAGTGTTACATGAAGCCTCTGATATAATGCAACTGGCTGAAGTTGGGAATAGAGCAAGGTACCAACATCATTTGTTTCAGACTAATGCTTCACAAATGTTTATAAGGAAAACTAAAAATTTTCATTTGAAAGAAACATATGACAGAGATAATGTCTCTCACTGGAGAATAGAGTGCTAATACTGTCCATTATAAAAATCTCTGGCACTCTAGGATCGATTTTCCACTCTCACAAGGCAATCCAGTACATGTATCCACTTATAATTCTTCATATTACCTCTAGGAATGAAAACTTGAGCAACCATCACGTAAAGCTAAAGACATTCTTATCACAGCTATGTGGTGTTGGTGTTAAGTTTTTCATTGCTATCTCTAATGTTATGGTCTTGTGCCTTCTTCCAGAATTCAGGAAACTGGACTTTTACCTTGTTAGCTTGCAAGATGCATGCTGTTTTATACTCTTCTCAATTCTTGGCAGTCATATTGCAATCTAAGCAAATCTATGGACAGATGACTTAGAATATATTCCCAAGACTGGCTTAGTCTCTAATTCTTTTTGTTTTCTCTAGTAAGGTTAGCAGAAATAGCATTAGTGAATCACTTTCTTCTAGTAACTACATGTTTTTATAAGGATGATTAAGGTGTGAAAAATACCAACCCGGATTTCTTATTTGTACATACCTTCTTCTTCTTGTATAACCAGATCTCAACATTCATATATTCCAGGATATCTTCCTTAGCATTATCAGATTATTGTCAACCAATGGATTTAGCATTCCTAGTAATTTCCTCCCACAGACCACAGTATATTCTATATAAGTCTGTAGGCCCAGTGTCAGTGTGACCTATACCTCTATACCAGCCTCTCAAGGAACTCTGGGGCTGAAAGAGCACCCCTGTGACTTATTTTGACTTTTTAGTAAAGGACTGCCTAGTTCCAGGAAGCCTTGTACTCAGCAAATGTAAATGTCCTTGGGGAAAGACTCGGTACTCTTCTGGTCAGTGAGAAGCCCAGCCATTCTGATTTGCAGAATGATCTTCTGCTAAATACAATTAATGTTTATACACCTCAGAGTTAGACATTAGCCAAAGGGGTAGAAATATAAAAATGGATAGCTTTAATGTGACTACAAAGAGACTAGTAGGTACCAATCTGGGCAAGGTCTTTGGGATCTTCAGAGTTTGAATTTGAAGGATTATCTGTTTCTAGAATCTATGGTCACTGTTTCCTAATTGCTTTGCTATAATTCCAAAGGCAAGAAGTGTTTGTCTTTGCTGATTCCTCTTTATTTCCTTTCTGCTTGTTTTTCTAGGAATATGGGGTCTCTTCACCTTGTTTAGTATAACTCATTCAGCTTTGATGTTCTAGGTTATAAAATTCATTTAAATTTCAAAACATATGATGAAGACAAATTTCAGAGAAGCATCTTTGAGTGGATTCAATCTTTGTTAAAAGTCCCCTGTTGAGTATTTTTTTTCATTTTTCACCAGTTGTTGTTGGTATTGAATCTGTGTTCCCTCTGTGCCTCTCAAGTATACTCCCCAAATGCAGATGGATAATATCCCTGACCTTGTTCCTGCCCCCCAAGATTTCACATGCTAGCATTCTTTCAGACTTGTAAATTTTCATAAGGTGCTGGTAAAAGAGAAGAGCTCTTTTTACTTTCTGAGTGGAGAATTTCTATTTTAGTAGAGCATCACTCTACTGAAATATTAGGAGAGAAACCAGGGATAAAGTACTTAAGGATTCCAAGAGTGTGTGTTTCTATAAAACCAACCCCTGAATTTCCTTGCTTCATCATTTCAGGAGAGGAAGATACTCCATGTGAAGTACCATGATCTGCAAGACATTAGGAACAGGGTAGTTGGAATAGTGGAGATAGTATTTCAAGTCTGTGACTCCTTTCATAGAAGATTGTCTCTAAAAAAGACTGCAGTTTCTCCTGTTAGCTAGAAGAGTGAAGAAGGCAAGCATTAATCCTGTACCGGGCACCAGCCATACAGGATCTGCTGATGATGTCGTTCATCAAGGAAAGGCCCAGTGCAATGTTCAGTGAGGCAGTGAAAGCTCTCTCATAGCCATTCAATGTCTCAGTCCTCTGACTCAAAAGAACATTGGCACAATAGCACAACAGCACATCCATTTTGGACCCTAAAAAATTATTTCTTGAATTTTATTCTTGAAACACTACTTACTCAGTTCAGTAAGGGTGGGAACTCTTCTGAATCTTAACTTCTTTGTCAATCGTGGAGACACTGTCAGCACAGAAAATAATAAAGAAGAGATTAGTAAATGCAAACTAAGTGACTTGTGAAACTTGACAAGGATGTAAAGCACGCCATGTTACTTGGCATTTTATCTTAGCAGAGTCTTAAAACTGAATCCTTCTCTATATTTAGGGGAAAAATTATGCTTGGACCTTTTCGGCATCTCCTTTTGAGACATGTGGTGTGTCTATGTTTTCTCTATATGGCACTTTATATGAATTACTAAAAAGGAAAAGCTCTCCCAATAGTTGCTTATCAACGTTATAAGTAAAATATGGTTATTCTTGATAAAGTGGCAGTGCTGGATAGTGGCTCAGACAGACAGTGCTTAGAACTACATCCATATGCCAGTACAGGAAAGTGTAAATAAATACACTTGCTGCCTCCAAGTTTTTGGAGATACTGCAGCTGGGGTTTGACTCCCAGAGCTGTTTGCCTCCTTGAAATTCTCTCCCAAGCTTCTACTTATGTCTTTCTTTTCTTCCTTTAGTAGAACTCACAACCTGTGGTTCCTGTTGGCCTGCTCAACCCAGAATGCTTTGGGAATTCCTTTCCAACTTAGGTGGAAGATAACATGAAGGTCTTTGGTTTTCATTTTCACTTTACAGAGTTCTCTTCTGAATTAGGAGAGAAATTTAGCTCTGTGACCTTTAACTCCAGAGAGAAGTGACATACAGCACTTGCCTGAAATAGTTTTACCATGTGGAAAACTATGAAGAGTCTCAAAACCCATCATGACACTAGAGTTTCTATCTCAAGGTAAAGTAAAAGATGTAAAGAAAGAAAAAGGTAAAGGGAAATGGGAATCTAGGCTTCAGTTAAAACACGAACATTTATACACGTAGACACTCAAGTATACAATTATTTTTTTTGTCTTTGATTTTTGGTCACACCTGTTGATACTTAGAGCTCACTCCTGACAATGTGCTCAGGGCTCACTCCTTGTGGGACTAAATGCAGTGCATAGGATTGAACCCAGATCAGCTGTGCACAAGGCAAGCACATACAATGTTCTCACCAGAAACTAAGTATTCAAACTGTTGGTTTTCTTTCTGAAACTTTCCTGATAATGCTACATGATGGGGAAAATACTTGGAAGTTAAAATTCTACTAGTAACTAAAATACCCTTCTACTTTGGAAGAGGGTGAAATATTTATAATGTTTATGGTTTACTGAGCCAAGTATGAGATAGGGGAGGGAAGGATGCTGTGTAGAATGAATAAAGCGTGCATTTAAGAAATGCTCAAAAAAGACAAAGGGAAAGACACTGGGAAACCAGAAACCGGGAGATAGATGGGGGAAAGTTGAAAATCCAAATTAGAGGGAATTCTATGTGCTTTATTTAATACCACCTCCATAGCCTCAAGAAATATTGATAAGAGAGTACTTTGTGTTCATGAAGAGTAGAGCTGGAAATATTTTCTGATGGCCACTATATTCTAAGTCACACTTCAGGGTAAAAATTCAAACTTTGAAGAGCACAAGATATTTGTAGAACATATTTGCCATAGTTTAAACTGACAATGAACTTAAATAAATCTTTCACTTCAGGTGAGGAAACAGAAATCTGGAATGTGACACTTGCTCAAAGGAATATAGGAATATGAACTAAGAGGGATATTTATATGTGTGTCTACAGATGTGATTATTCCTGACTCATTATTAAATCTTACACGAGGTGGCACCTGAATATATTAAACTTCAATAATTTCTTGAAAAATATCTGAGGACCCAGAGAAAAAGTACAGCAGGGAAGACACTTGCATTGCATGCTCAGGCCTGGGGTTTGATACCTGGCACCACACCACCTCAGGAGTAATTCCTGAGCACAAGCCATGAGTAAACTCTGAGCACAGCTAGGTGTGATCCCACTCACCCCATACCATAAATAAATTAAAACCTCAATTGCTATGGATCCAAGACCCCGTTGTCAAACCTGCTCCATGAAATACTTTGAGGGAAACACCTGTAAGACCCTCCTAGATATTTGACTTCAGAAAAGTCTTCAATGATCTGTTCTCACTGGCAAAGAAAGCAAAAGCAGATAGATACAAATAGAATTATATTAATCTAAAAAGTTTCTGCATTAGGAAAGAAATTAAAACTAAAACAAAAAGAAACCCCAAAGATCAAAAATATTTGCACTCCACACATCAAACTAAGGACATGGGCCAGAGAGGTAGTACAGCAGGCAGGGTTCTTGCTTTGCGAGCTGCCAACCCAGTTCCAATGTCTGGCGTCCTGTATCTCCCCCTGAACACGCAAGGAGTAATTCCCAAGTGCAGAGTCAGAAGTATCACTGAATATTGCCAGTTGTGACTCAAAAACAAGCAACAACAAAATTCTAAGGACAACATACATATTATATAAAGCACTGTCAAAGTTCACTGAAAAACTTGATTAAAAATTAGGAAGAGGAAATGATCAGACATTTCCTCAAAAAGAATATAAAGATACCAATAGCACAAGAAAAATTATCATCAAGATTGTTTATCACAGAAACTCAAATCAAAACATAAAAATAATATCACCCCCAAAATACTGGAAACAATCAGTGCTGAGAAGGATGTGGTTAAAAAGGAACTCTAGTTCACTGTTGATGGGAATTTTCATGGTTGATCCTCTATGAAAACAGTTTTGAGACTCAAAAACATGAATGGAACTTCCTTATGACCCTGGGGCCCCATATTTGTGTATCTTTAGCAAGAACACAAAACATTATCCTGAAAATACATAAGTACACCTAAATTCACCACAGCACTATTCAAAATAGCCAAAGTATGGAAACTCAAGTTACCCAAAAGAAATGAAATTATAAAGAAATTGTGCTATACATACTCAATGAAATACTGTTAAGCTGTGAGAAAATATGAAATTTTGCAATTTTCTGCAACTTGGATGAAATTGTAGAGTGTCATGCTAAATGAAATCACTCAGAAATTAATGAAAGCATTAGACAATCTCCATGAAAATGAATACTGAGACATGATCAATAGAATCTGCAACTAACTGAGAAGGTAGGGAGGAAAGAAGATAATAGTGGAAGAATTGGCGTTGTATTATGCAAGTATAAATTTACAAATTTAATAATCTTATAATGTATGTTGTCTCAATACAAACAAATTTTAAAATATCTTTTACTTCCTTTTATTCTGTTCTTTTTCCTTCTTTTGTCTAAAATTTTTTAAATATCCACTCCATGCCATGGCGTTGAGTAGCCCCTTCTCTAGTCATATCATGTGCTATAAATACAAAATATTTTTAGATAATGATATATGAAGGTAGGGAGAATGTTAATTGAGGCTGCAAAGTGATTTTTGTTAGAACAAAGGAGATATCTCTAACTTGGAATGGGTTGAATTAAACGATAAATCCAGGTGCCAAAGAAACAGCATACATAGGATGAACTATGAGAAATTTCAAATTTCCTATAAACCTGAAAGAAATGTAGGAGATTAGACAAAGGTCATGTGAATTTTGTTAATTGAATGTAGTTCACCTTTGAAGGAAAAACTGAGTGTTGATATATCTTAATACAATTTGCATCACTTGAAAATGATACATGAACTTTGATAGTTCAATGAGTACCAAGTTTTAAAAAAGTACTCTTTTCTGGTGAACCTATTTTGTATTTATACAGACACAAAGTTTATTCTGGCATTTTCAGTAAAATATTGTTAGATTTTTTTAAAGAAAATCAGACTTCACTGATTGCAGACTCTCTTTTACAGTCTTGTGAGGTCTTGAACTTCAAATATTGTATTTGAAGATAGACACATACATATTGGCTGAAGTGATTATTTAAATAACTGCTTCTGATGAATTTCTGCCTTCCCTCTGTCTTTGCATATGGGCCAATGGCTAATTTGAATATGTCAGATCATAGACTGAGTACATTTTACTAATGTCAATATTTTTGCTTCTAATAGTGCACAGTATTATACCTGAAATTTTCCAGGCTGGCAGGGTGCCATTACAAAAGATTGCTTAATTGTAGATTACTACTGTACATTTAAATTTCAGTAGCATATTAAGTTGTCAGACATAATTACCATTATATGTTTAGATTATGCCACGAATTATTTAGTTCAGTTCCTAGGTTTGCCAACCTGTTCTCCCTGTGATGTGACAGGCAGTAATTAGAGCATCATTGACAAGTCTAAGAGTCTTTGCCATGGAGAGTTCCAGGGACCGGGTGTTCTGACTGGTCCTTAAGACAGTCCACTCACTGCTGCCATCTACCCTCAACATCTCCTGGTGACTCACTGTGTGAAATAGGCTCGGTAGTCCCGGATGATTTTCTGAAGTACTGTTATGACTCTGAATGTGTGGGAAAGTCCACTGCTCCCACAAAACTTTTACCACATGTTCCAGGGCAACTTCCTCAATCTTACTGGGGTCAATTTACTTTTCTATTTTTTTTAAGTTATGTGAATGTGTAGAATATATATCCAATGTACTGCAGGATATATGACGGCATGTCTAATCTCTCTACACTATATTCCAGTGTAATTCTCTACCCCAAGTTTTGATGACTGAAACCGTTTCCAGACTTTGGTGTTAAACTTGGGCAGGGGGAAGGGGGCAATGATGGCTCTGATTGAAAGCAACAATCTTAGCGTAAGATAAAAACATTAAGTTACACTTAATTTGGTGCCCAGCATTGAAGATGTTTTCATGATATTTTGCACTGTCACTTCCTGGAGTTAAATACTCCTATATCCGCCTCTCAGAGAGAATGCAGGAGGTGGATTGATATGAAATGGGAAAGATGGTTACAAGAACAAGTGATGAAACAAGTGTCTCTGATGAAATCAAATTTCTACCTCGAGACTCTAGGTAGAGCCTTATCACGCCAGATTTATTGGTGAAATTTCGGAATGGCCTCTTACTAGTCATGTATTTTGTGAATATGTACTTAGAATAAAGCTTTCCATATGTCTAAGCACTATCAAAACAGTTTTGATAACCTTCATTCATTAGGTAGGTTAATATAGTTCATATCACTGTTGCTTTCCCAGTCACACAAAGGGCATTGACATGCATGAAAGCAAGATATAGATAAAGATAAGGGTGCAAGAAATTTCCTGTAAACGTCCTTTCACTTTTGGAAAGAGTTTCTACTGATAATGCTTTGTGATAATTTAAATACTTTAGCATTCCTCCATTTCTCCTTCCTCCTTTCCCTTCTGCGCTCTACCTCTAAATACTAATCCCATTAGTTGCTCCTTTCAGTGAAACTTTCTAACCCATAATTTGTTATAGACTGCGTGTGAAATATCTTAAGATAAATATATTTTGTCAAATGAATGAAAAGTGGAGAATAGAAGAATGAATAACATTTCAGACATGAAGAATATCAAATCACAGATTGATATATATTAAAATATATTTAAAATAGATAAATATGTGAGGTTAAGAAACAGTGGCGTGGTGATATGGCTGAGGTGGTAGAACACAGTCTTGGCACAAACATGGTGCTGCTAAGTTGGATCCCTAATATAGCACGGCTCCCTTAGCACCACCATTGTGATCCTAATAAAAAGTTAAAGATTAAATCATTCATTTATTGTTGGGACACCTATGTTGATCCCATATCTCAGCTATTATAGTAAATACTGCAATGAATAATGGTGTACATATGCCCTTTGAATGAAAGTTTTTGTGCCCTGGGGGTAGATACTCAAAAGTGAAATTATTGAGTTATATATAAACTCAATTCTTAGTTAACTGACAACTAGCCATACTGTTTTCCATATCAGTTCAACATGGAATATTATGTAGATGGAAGGAACGATGAAATTATGCAATTTGCTGCAACCTGAAAGGAACTGGAAGATAACAAGTTAAGTGAAGTAAGCCAAAAGAAGTACAGACACAAAATGATCTTCCTTATCTGTGCCATAGAGTAACGATATACAGGGGAATTCAATACAATAAAGGAGGTGCCTAAATCATACTTAACCACAGCATAGAGAGAAAAGAAGAACAGAGGAGGAAAGAAATCAAGGGGGGGGTGGTTAAGAAAATGAAGAAAGTAAGTATGGGAATGGCAGTGGTCATCAGCAATGGGGGGAGTGGTAACTGAAAACATGTGATCCAAACTCTAACAATGAATTTTAAAATGTTCCTGTCGAGGTAGCAGGCTGAGGGCACTGGAGAGGAATTGAGAGCACTGTGGGGAAGATAGTAATAGGAAAGACAGATCACTCAGATGATTAAGTACATGACTCGTAATGTGAATTTTGTCGAGTATGTACTTAGTATTTTCATGTATGCATCAATGATACTATTTAAAAATGGAATTGCATTTTTTCATAAAATTACAAAAAGTTATTAGCAAAATGTGCACATATGTACATCATACACATATGTGTAAAAATAAATACAAGTGAACCAAATTATCAGGTTAAGGATTGATGTGTAGAACACAGCAGCCTTTTATTGGTTGCCAGATTTGGTCAGTGGAAGTATGGGTGTCTCTTTAGTTTGGATTTTTGTGAGCTTTGATCATTCAATAAGAGTATACCAAGTATCCGGCTGGTCCATTTTACCTAACAAAAACTAGATTGTATTAGTCATTCATGAATTTGTCCCAAGAATCTTATATTTTCCCACCTAAGAACAGTCACCAGGAGTTCACAGAAAGTTATTTTGGTTTCCCTCTTTAACTCATGAGTATTTTTATCTGTAGCTATAATTATTAAAACCTTATTCTGTCTTTTGTGTGTGTGTGTGTGTGTGTGTGTGTGTGTGTGTGTGGTGAACGTGGGAATTTGCTACACCTGGTGATGTTCAGGGGCTACTCCCAAGATCTGTGCTTGGGGGTCACTCCCTGTGATACAGGGACCATGTAGTGACCAGGTGGAACTGTGGTTAACCCCTTATATGGCAACTGCCTTAATGCCAGCACTATCTCTCAGCCTTACAACCTCCATGCAAAGTGAAATTGCTGTAGTCAGAAGCTTTCTGGATAGAAGCATTAAATACCTGATATTGAAATAGAGGATGAACTGACCCAGAGGTCATGGTTGGATCTAGGGATTCCAATCCTTTACTTTTCTTCATGAAAATGATTTAAATACAAGAAATCATTCAATTATTCTTCAATAGTTTCCTATTAATTTGAGTTCTTTACAATTAATTTTCAGAAATAGTCTTAATAGACCAACAGTTTTCCATGTCAGTGGATGAAAATCATAACTGTGTGGTGGGAATTTACTGAAAGCACACTTAGGTGAAGTACGTGAACTCCTCAATAATCAGCTCACTAGCATTTTTGCTTCAATTTAATGAGTATTAAACAATTTAAGAAGTAAATATTAAATTACTCTGATTGTTATAGACACAGAATACAGTGAAAAATATAGTATCATTATCCTAAAGAGATCCAGATTTTCACCATCTCTTTCTAATCTGAAGTTAAAATATTATCTCAGTCTACAGAAATTAGAGGGACATTAGAGAGTTATCTATAATATACTTCATTCTGTCAGCCATGAAACTAAGTTTAACAACTTGGACATCTAAAAGATGCAATGAGAATAGAATAATAATATATTTTATTAATTGTAACAACATTCTGATATCTATATTTACTGATATGTGTAACGTCAGTAATAGTAGTACTTAAAATTCCATGATTTCCCTTAACATAGGAAAACAGTGTTAGATGCAGTCTTTCCAGAATATATTGTTTTTCATTGAACTTAAAATTCCAGTGACTGAACTGTGCATTACTTCTATTATGAAACTCTTAAAGTTTAAAGAGGTCTTAGAGAACATTTTTTACGAACTTTTCCTCTCTATCAAAGAGAGGAGCTCAATTTCTCCTAGCTTCTTTTGGTTGAATGTTGTTCTTACATCGGTCAATGGTTTTCGGGAAAGAATAAAAAATCTTCAGTGATCTGATATTGAGGGTAGCCATGATATTCTCTGTGTCCATCAAAGTCGAGCTGTGTGACAATTTGGATGGGGAAGATAAGACAACACACATGGAACATTCCTCTATGTTGACTGCATGGAGGTCTCCAGTATAGAGTGCAGAACCCTAATGAAAGAAAATAAGGTTTAGGAGAAAATTGTCAAATGGAGGGACTTTATGTCATGGTTCATGGTGATGACTTTTTATAGAAAGTCCAACCTCCACTGGCTTGGCTTTAAAATATCATTACCTGATATTTGGCACATTTTGCATCACTTGTCAATGTTTTAGTGTCGCAGCTATGCGGCCTTTAAAAGGATCAAGTCTGGATAACACGAAAGAGGATGGATAGGGATAAGATCATTTATGTCTCATTTTTTTCCTTTTTTATAATTTTATTTATTGAATCTCCATGAGAACAGTTACAAAGCTTTCAGGATTAGTCTTGGTCATACAATGAAACACCCGCCCCTTCACTACTGCCCATTTTCAATCACCAAAACCCACAGTATACCCCCAATCCCACACCCTCGCCCTTTGGGGCAGATCATTTCCACATTACTCTTTCTCTACTTTATTTCACTCAGCATTTTGACACTAGACCCATCATTCTTATTTGGGATTTTACCCCAAAACTCAGAAGTGCCGAAAAGGTAACAGTGGACAATTTGTTATCTATTGCTGATTATTAATAATATATGATGTCATGCGACCGCAGTAGTGGCCACACGATTTTGGAATTTTGAAATTTTAATTAATTAAATCTGGAGGGATTTCTGCCCAAACCTGCTGGGTTCTGAGATTTGTTCCTGAGCCTCTGGGATCATGACCATTAAGCAGCTTGATCAGGAGTCAGAGAGGCCATTTGTGGGCAGCGAAACGGGGTCTCGTTGGGGCGGGGAGGAAAGGGCTGGCTCCACCCCCATCCGTGAGGCCCCCCTTGTCTTGTCACAACAGGCCCAAACCTGACTATCCAGTGGCCTCTGGAGGATCGCGGCTACTGAGCTGCCAGGGGGAACAGGCCAAGGCATGAAACCTATCCCCACCTAAGGTGGCCCAGCACCAGTAACCTACTGCAGGGACCAGACGCATTACTGCCAAAAGCCGCTTGGTTTCAAGATTTGTTTCTGAGTCTCTGGGACCATGGCTGTTAAGCAGCTTGATCAGGAGCCAGAGAGGCTGTTCATGGGCAGCGACTTGGGATCTCATTCTGTGTCTCATATTTTTAAAAAAAGAACAGTAAGGGGAAGTTTTGAGGAAAATTTCAGAGCAAAAAACAGTGAATCTTTACAATTTTATTTTTAGTTGATACTTCTCCTGAGACAAACTGACAAAGGGGTATTTGGTCTTTTCTTTCATAAAACAGTAGTTTCTTTGGTCCTCCTAAATTTAGAATTAGTCCACTTCCCAGTAGTTAGATTCTAATACTCGTAATCTTTAATGCTGGAGACTTATCATTTTTTTTTTGTTTTCCCTTTCTATGAACTAAGTTAATGGAGGAGGAATAGGAAATTAATGAACTTTATGGTGACATTTTTAAAAAAGATTTTATTAGTTAAACAACATGAGGCTGGAGCAATAGCACAGCGGTAGGGTGTTTGCCTTGCACACAGCCAACATGGCCGACCCGAGTTCGGTTCCTCCGCCCCTCTCGGAGAGCCCAGCAAGCTACCGAGAGTATCTCGCCTGTACGGCAGAGCCTGGCAAGCTACCCGTGATGTAATCGATATGCCAAACACAATAACAACGAAGTCTCCAATGGAGATGTTACTGGGCCCACTTGAGCAAATCGATGAACAACAGGAGGACAGTGACAATGACAGTGACAGAAACACCATGAGGTACAGTTTTAGACTTACAAATTTTTGTGCTTGGGTTTCAGTTATACAATGACCGAGTACCCATCCCTCCACCAGTGCCCATTATCCACCACCACTAATCCCAGTATCCCTCCCACCCCCCCATTCCCCCACCCCACCCTGCCTCTGTGGCATGGCACTCCCTTTTGTTCTCTCTCTCCTTTTGTGTGCTGTGGTTTACAAAAGAGGAATTGAGTGGCAATTGTGTTTGGTCTATTGTCTACTTTCATCATGCATCTCCCATCCTGGGCAGATCTTCCCAACACCTTTTATTTGGTGCTCCCTTCTCTATATGAGCTGCTTTTACCCCTAGAGTATGCAGCTGGCCTCCAAGCCATGGAGTAAACCACCTGGTATTTATCTCAGCTATTCTTGGGTGTGTGGCAGTCTCCTGCCCCCGCGCCTGGCTGTCCTCGCCGGGGCCCCTTGGAGGGGAGCGGGTTGAGCTTTCCTTCCCACCCCGAACAGGGCTCTGGCAGCCGAAGACCTCTAGGACCAGCCACCACCATGCTGAGACCACTCTCCGCACACCTGAAGGTACCGGCAGAGAAACAAAGGCAAGCGGGTTCCGGGGCTGAGATCTCCAAGCCTACTCGGATCGGGCCTGAGCATCCTCCCCCCAGATCCTCCGAATTCCAGTAGGCAGGGGTCACACCCACCAACTGGCCCCCTGGCGCCGTGTAATCCCATCAACGGCCAAGACTCAGAGACTGTAAAACCCAGCTCCAGGAACCACACGGCCACATTCGCGGCTGCACGCCATCTTATTCTGACATTTTATTATCTCATTCCTACTTTGGACAAACTGGCAGGCTACCAAATGTAACCTGCCCACATGGCAGAGTCTGGCAAACTCCCCGTGGTGTACCCAATATGCCAAATACCAGTAACAATGATGGGTCTCATTCTCCTAAAGAGCCTTGAATATAGCACTTTCTTAAAAATCTCAGGGCTATGATGAAGGAGATGTTACTGGGGCCTGCTCGAGGAAATTGACGAATAACAGGATGGTCGTGATTCGTGATTCGTGATTCTTGGTTGTTCGTCTCCTATTTTGTTACTTTATGTTCCCCAGATGAATTATGGTGACATTTTAAGAAATAACTGAAATGAGAACTCTTATTGACATTTGAAAATTATTCTTTCCAGAATCATTTTATGAAAAATAAAATGCCTTGGTACATTTCATACTGTACACAGTGTTTTTTTTCTGTCCAGGGAAATGATGTTATATAATGTGATGTAGACCTATGAAGGTTCAGAACACTTTAGTGACAATCATAATGTCACAGGTGAATAATTCATTTCTCAAACTGATAAGTCTGATTCCTTCTTTTAATATATCTATCAAGGAACATAATTATGTTTAACTTAAGACATGTCTGTAGAAAATGTGAGAAAGTTAGAGCATAGAGATTGGCCAGTATTAGCTTAGATTTGGCCATTAAATCAGAATCAGATACAGAAATGGAGAGAAACTCTTATTTCTATCAATATCACAAAGCATAGTCATAAATATAAATCATAAACATCATGTCATACTGTTTGGATTTAATTCCACATTCTACTGCTTTCTGCTATGTAATCTTAGGTAGCATGCTTACTTTGCTGACCTAAAGTACAACATATAAAGCATATAAAAAAAACTACCCCTACAAAGTAATTTTGACAGTCAAATTTGCATTTCCCAGACAAATATGCATGTCCCAGACATGCATAGGGAGTAATAATGCCAATAAATTAACTTACATACAAAAGGTTAGACGTTTTCTAGTACCCAATGACCATGATATGACTACAAACTTAATTTTAGGTTGTTTTATTATTCATAATGACTAAATTAATTAATTGATTATTTATTATTATCAAAAATTATTAATTTAGCTCCACAGTGTTATTATCATTATAAGTATTATTACTTATGTGATACTTACAGGCATAATGTATAGTTTGGGAAAATTTCGAAGAAATCTCCATTCTCTCTGCAGATAATCCAGTGAGCCAATGAATACTATGTCCTTTAATTCTTGCCGGGTATAGTTGCTAGCTCTCAAGGGTATTACAAAATTCTGAAGTCCTATCAGTGTTGATTGTGCATCTCCAAAGACACAGACTACAATATGGTTCTGAAAATCATGTCTGGACTTCTCAGTTCGTTTCTAAGTATAAGCATGCCAGAGATTAGTCATTTTTAAAATCAAGATAAGAATTCCTCATAGAGGGATCTTTCCTCCTATCTCATTATTTCTGATAAACCCACAATATACTGTCACACAAATTTAAGAGTATTTTTCAAATTTCCCATAAAAGATGAAATTTAGGCACAATGGTATGATTGTGTTTTGTTTTATTTTGGGGCCACTTCCAGTGCTTCTCAATACTTACTCCTGGCTCTGCTCAAGGATAATTCCTGGATGAACACAGGGGATCAAACTTGATGCAGGATGTAAACCCTCAGCCAATTCTGTGCTAGGCAAGTGCCTTACACGCTGGGGTATTTCTCTGGCCTTCAAGTACACATAAAAAATTTGTGTTGTGTGTAGTTGTTTCTTATTCTATTAATTTTGAAGTTTCCTCCTGATCTGGGGTTCACCAATAAAACTTATATCACCCATCATTTTTTCAGGTACAAAATCATGAAACCAAATATCTCTGAATTCCATTGCATTTTACACTGTATGTACAATATAGACTGTTTTCTGTATACAGTCTAAAACCACTGTAAGCTTTTAGACTGAATATGCTTAAACATTCAGTGAGAAACTAAGACATTCCAAATTCTATTGATGACCCTATGTCTTCTAAATATTAGTTGTGCTGCACAGTATGTTACAATTTTCAGTGGGTTTCATACATAAAAATATACATTTTAGTTTGAACCATGTGAAATTGTCTTTAATGGTTCAAAAGTGATTGCAAAAAGGCAATTTCCATTGACTCAATGTAATGTACTTAATTGATTCAATAGATTTTTTTTCAGAGTCGAGGAAAATCATCTTGAAAGTGAATCAAATAATTGGAAGGTTATAAAAGTTTTATTTTCTCCCAAGTATTGAAATATACTCCAGAGTATTGTCATATTTGCTGATTGTTAACATCTCCCCAATATTTCTAAGTGGAATGCCATTTAATATCAAACAAAAATATTTAGATTGTGTTTCCCCCACTTCCCTACATGCATAGGGACTAACAAAGCCAATAGCTTACATTAAAGCTAAGAAAACAATTCCCATAGGCAACTTAGATTAAGCGGTGTTTGCTTCTTTCAAGAAATGAGCCAGTGTCATCTCTCAGTAAACTGGGAAGAAACCTGTCCTTGATCAGTATTTTTATTTTGGTTTTGTCATTAGTGACATTACTATGGAAAATTATTCTCTCTGAGCTTCAATAGTTCTGTTAAAAATTTTTTAAAAATGTGCTGTGGAAATAAATAATTGACTAAAAGTATAGTGCTTAATTCACTAACTGTTCAGTAATGTTGGTGTTTTCTGTTTCTTGTTTTGGAAGGGGGGTGTACCTGACAATGCCCATGATTTACTCCTGGGTCTACGCTTTGGTTACTCCTGTTGGTGTTCAGGAGACCATGTAGGACCAAGAGCCAAATCAATTCAGTACTCTAATGCAAAGCATGTTCTCAGCTCATTGATCTATCTCTCTGGTCCTGTTTAGTAGATTACCAAATTTGAATCTTACTGAATTTCTAAGAAAGGATACTTGGAAACTGCTATTATGGTGGTGAAATGTGTTTAAAGTCACTCCATGCCAGAGACTGTTTACATGCCCAAGCATATGCAGAGTCAGAATGTTTCAAATGGATATACCATTCTCCCTTAGGCCTGTGCTTAGCTGGCTTAAATGACAAGCTTCTGTGAAATTGCAATGGATGACATCTAACAGAATAAATAGGGAACATTTGATATCTTAACAATTAGAATTTTTCAAATTAGCATACACTGGGAAATACTTGCATTTCAAGTATTTCCCAGGGAGATACCCTGGGAGGGGAAGAAAAAAAAAAAAGCTACTTGTCTAGAGAGCTTTCCTGGAGAATGGTATTAATCTTAACCAAATCTATTAAATAATTGTCTCTAGCTAATCCGATTAGTTTTAACTTGAATAATGAAGCCTCTAACGGTATTTAATGTAACATGCCTGAATTCCAACAATTGCTCTTCTGAGTAGGACTAAACAATTAGAAATAAGATACATGGCAGAATGTGCTAATGGGCACAGCTAGAGAGGCAATTTCTCCAAGAAATGGTGGCACAAAACTATCTCCCAATTGAGAAAGATAGTGGCTCTAGGGTAGAGGAGGGGATGGAGCTTGGGGGAAGGAAAGGATGCTCTACTTGTCAGTTAAACTGAGCACTTCCAGTTGACCATTTTGCACACTAAACCAAACCCAAAGCCTTGTTGAGAGTTTTACTTTGGACATTTCTCCTCTTTAGTCACAGGTTTCAAAATCCTTAAAACTTACTAAACTAGAAGTTCTTTTAAATGTACCCACAGAACCAGTTGTTATTCCAAATTATGTTCCAAGTTGATGTTACAGTATTGTAAGGGAATTAACATAGCAAACTGTCTTCATGCTTAATAGATATGGTATAATATTTTTTTTAATGTAGGTGTATTGCTATTTATTCAGCCATTGACTAGGCTGATCGAATTGGGTATGAACTCCACCTTACTTTTTATTTCTTTTTTAAAAATTTATTTATTGAATCAGCATGAGAACAGTTACAAAGCTTTCACATTTAAGTCTCAGTCATACAATGATGATGAAACACCCATTTCTTCACCAGTGCTCATTTTACACCACCAAAAAGCCCAGTATACACCCCACCCCACACCCTCCCCATATCTGTGGGGCAGATGGTTTCCACATTACTCTCTCTACTTTGATATTTTGATACTTTGATATTTTGATACTCTCCTGCCCCTGCACCTGACTGTCCTTGCTGGGGCCCCTTGGAGGGGAGCTGGTTGAGTTTCCCTCCCCGCCCCGACCAGGGCTCCGGCAGCCGAAAACCTCCAGAACCAGCCACCACCATGCTGAAATCACTCTCTGCACACATGAAGGCACCGGCAGAGGAACAAAGGCATGCGGGTCCTGGGACTGAGATCTCCAAGCCTGCTCGGATCGGGGCTGAGCATCCTCCACCTAGATCCTCCAAATTCCAGTAGGCGGGGGGGTCACACCCACGAACTGGGCCCCCTGGCACCATGTAATCTCATCAACGACCAAGACTCAGAAACTATAAAACCAAGCTCCCGGAAGCGCGCAGCCACATTTGCAGCCACGCGACATCTTATTATCTCATTCCTACTTTGGACAGACTGGCAGGCTACTGAATGTAGCCTGCCCACACGGCAGAGTCTGGCAAATTCCCCATGGCGTACCCAATGTGCCAAATACCAGTAACAATGATGGGTCTCATTCTCCTAACTCTTAAAGAGCATTGAATATGGCACTTTTTAAAAAAATCTCAGGGCTAGGACGAAGCAGACGTTACTGGGGCCTGCTTGAGAATAACAGGATGGTCATGATCATGATCAATATTTTGATATTTTTGATATTTTGATACTTTCAATTCAATATTTTGACCCCAGACCCACTATTATTATTTGGGATTTTACCCCAACCCTCAGATCTTCCAAAAAGGCAACCGTAGACAATTTTTTTTCTATTTCTAGTTATGAATAACTTATGATGTCACATGGCTGCAGTAGTGGCCACACGATTTTGGAATTCTGAAATTTTAACAATTAAATCTGGGGGGATTTCTGCTAAAACCTACTGGGTTCTGAGATTTGTTCCTGAGTCTCTGGGATCATGGCCCTTAAGCAGCTTGATCAGGAGCCAGAGAGGCCATTTGTGGGCGGCAAATCAGGGTCTCATTGGGGTGGGGAGGAAAGGGCCTGCTCCACCTCCATCCCATAAGGCCCTGTGTGTCTTGTCACAGCAGGCCCAAACCTGACTGTCCAATGGCCTCTGGAGGATGGCGGCCACCAAGCCACCAAGAGGGAGCAGGCAGAGTTTCAGCACCCTTGCCCCACTGGGGTGGCCCGGCACCAGTAACCTACTGTGGGGTCCAGATGCATTTCTGCCAAAAGCCACTGGGTTTCGAGATTTGTTTCTGAGACTCTGGGATCATGGCTGTTAGCGGTTTGATCAGGCCTTGCCTCCAATTATATAGCTAAGTTGGAGACGGTTTGTGGGAATGTCTCTCACATACCTAACTTTTGGCCATTTACTTTCTCGGTAAACTTGGCCCAGGTTTTTGGAGTATGGTCAAAGGCATAGCAGCAATTTTGGGGTATCTAGAAGTCTAAAGGTACCATCAGGTTGCTGATGCACTCACCTCACAGGTACATATTGACCTGTTGGTGACACCATACACCTTATAATAATTTTTTTCAAAACCCTGTTTAACTTTGTGCCTTGGTCTTTTACATGGCTTTGTGTGCAACCAATTCCGAATCCTTTTTGAAGATTTTACTCCCACTAAAAACATGTTTGACTTCCTGCTGAACGGATGTTTGTTTTGCTTAATTTAAAATGACATGACTGCCAAACTGCTAATTTTTAGCAAACCTAATACTTTTCCATTTGATATGACAGATATGACAATTTTGTGCTTCTGATCAATTGATTGATCATTATTTTACAAACGTTAGAATGTATTTTGTCAGGACCCTGGCACTGAGCCACAAAAATAAATGTGTGTTTGTGTGTGTTTTTATGCATGCAATGAAGGTGTATGTGTGTGTACATGTATGTGTGTTTGCATATGTGTACAGAAAATTATGAACTAAAGTATATTTGAAAAGCAAGAAAATAGTATCATTGTCAACTTGTCACAGTTAAAAATTATTCATACAACACACATTTGTTTTTATTAGTTAAGTTTACCAACTGCTGCTTACAGGTAAACCACTGAGATTCTAATAGCATTTACAACTCTGGAAAATGAAAATACATGGGAATCTTAAAATTAAGTGTCAGAGCTTAGATTAGGGACAAGGATTTTTATATTTTAGCTTATGCTATTTCATTTAGCTGAGTTAGTTTCCTTAAGAAAATTGACAGCAATAGGATTCTAATACATATAATATTCACCATGTTGCTTGGGGGATGAGTAATCTCTACAAGAGACATTCCTGAATAATGTTAAATAAAAGTATTTTCAGCTTTAAGAAAAAAATACAGAAAATCCAGACATAGAAACCAATAAATTAGAAAAAATAGTTTGGTTTTAGAAAGGAAAGATTGCATAGTCCTTGTAAATAGTACATTTCCCTAGTGTATTTAAATTAATTAGATTTATTAGCAAAACAATATTTCAGGAGAAAGTAATTCTGAATTAGTCAGCTAAATGAATAAATGATTGTCAAAGAAGGGAAAAAGTAGTTGAAGAACCTGAACTAATTGGTTTATTACTTACATAGGTTTTTGAAATGCCATATCTGAATGTGACCCTTCAGACATTCATGTGGCTGGTTAGGTGTATGTTTTTATTTCAGAATTTATACTTTAAAAAGAGAACTGGAAGTTGCTTCTGCCTAGGGGAAGGACGTCATTTACTCTAATAGAAGCCAGTTTTAGTTAAAATTTGGTCTAAGGTCACCTACCAGAATCACATTTTCCACAGGGACCGCTTTGCACCAGTGAAACATGCCGGTGCCATCAAGCATGCTGTTCGCTTCACTTTGAAAATGCCTAAATAAGAAGAATGAAAACTTACTCAGAGAGTACTTGGGGCTGTGATGAATCAAAGTCAGTATGTCAAGTTCTGTCGTAAGCACTAAGAAATGTTCTACGGAACTGAGCTTGCCATGTGGAGGAAGGAGGGGAGTGGCAGGTGGACTGAATGTGGGGGGCACCAATAGGCAACGTAGTGTTAGACAGTTGTGTTCATGAAACCGTATCATTTACAGTATTATCACCACAGTGTAATAAAATAAAAGTTCATGCAATGGCCTCAATGCATTCTCAAACGGATCTTACCTCTCTTGCAAATGTCTGCAGCATGCTATTTTTCTCCGGCATCACAGACTCTAGTACACAGCATGATTTGTTCTCCAGCATGCTGAGTACTCCTTGCCTCTGACTTCCAACAGGCTATATGTCCTGCTAAATTTTTCTCCATTAAGTAATCACAAAGGTGTTCAATCAAGTCATAGTACCAAAAATCGACTTGAAAAGTCTGATCTGACCACTCCACTTAAAACAGTAAAATCTTTCACTTACCAACATGCACAAAGGTGCTTTGTGGCATAGAAACAAATAAAGGGCTGCAGGTCATTCTCTAGCACATACCATATTTTAATGTGCTGTATAATCAATTTGGTTTATTTATTTTATTGTAGATTATCTTTATGATCCCTTTTATCCCTGTATTACCACATGAAATCTATAGGAGAAACATATTTTCTCATGCTTATATATTGCTACACATAGGTGTCTACAAGGATGTAGACAGAGCAAACCGTGAAGCTGATATTTGAGTATGATGCTGAGGTTGAGATAACTACAGTTTATCTTTTTTCCTTCCTTAGAAAACTCACAGTGAGATAGGTCCACATAACTCATTCTTGGTAATGAAATGTGAAAGATGATGGTTGAAAATCTGATTTTTCTGACCCCTACAGTAGGTAGAGATAAGCAGCCTGAATACATAAATGTGTATTTTCTGTAAAGCAGTCTTTGTTCTCGACCTTTGTTAGACATATACCATGGACAAAAAAAAAATGCGCCTTTGTTATACAAAGTCATTAGTCACAAGATATCAGAGTTGATACTACAGCATAAGTAAATCCTACAAAAACCCAAATATAAATGTTTTACAAAACTTGTAAAGTACTAAGGAAATAATTTCTGCCATCGCATAAAGTTTGAGAAAAAAAGTTCCCTTGCTTATGATTCTTCGCACTAAAATTCACAGTGCACTTTGGAAGATTAAAGGTTCTGAAATGTCTCACACAGATATATATCCTTTAGACTATATAATACTGACTGTGCACTTCATACAATATGTCCAGAAAAAATTATTTACTTATGTACTTATTTTATTTAAAACACCTGCTATTATCTCTTGAAACATTTTTTGAGACATACTGTATTAAATCACACTATAGATTTAAACTCAGTACTTTATGACAGACTGTGTTTGGACTGCTAGGGAAAATCCAATCTATTCTGCTCCTCATGCTGAAGGACTTAGAGTCTTCCCTGTGAATGTATATAGTTTATTATTCAACACCTCTAACATAATGACAAACAATTCTGCTATCTTTAACCAGGTTAGTTTCTAAATTTCAAACACAGGCATAATATCTCAAAGAACTTACTTAAGCTTAGACTGTAATGTCAGAACTAAAATAATGGGAAGGAAGTATCCAAACATAGAGGATTGGGTGGTAGGGTTTGAAAAAAAATTACAAAAGCCATTTCTACTGAGAATGGCCATTGTTTAGGTGCAACCTATATTTTACTCTCCATTTAATATTTATCTATAAAGTGAGTGGAGTCTAATCAGTTATCTAACCAGAAGATATTGTAAGGTCAGTTTCAAGGTCAATCTGACCAAAATGAGCTACCTTGAACACATGAATTTTGTCGTCTAACTATAAACTACATGTTCTATCCCAGAATTCTAGACCCACACAGGATCTCTTGAAGTTCAACACTGGACAATAAAAATGGCTTTATGTCACACATCAGCGGGGAAAAACCCTAAGATTTAGGACGATTTTTGATCTATAATAGGATTTGGGGCTGGAGTGATATCACAGAGGGTAAAGCGTTTGCCTTGAATGCAGCCGACCAGGGTTCAATTCCTACACCCCTCTCGGGAGAGCCTGGCAAGCTACCAAGAGTATCTATCCTACACGGCAAAGCCTGACAAGCTCCCCGTGATGTATTCGGTATGCCAAAAACAGTAAGAAAAAGTCTCACAATTTGTTATGAGACGTTATTGGTGCCCATTTGAGAAAATCTATGAACAACGGGAGGACAGTGCTACAGTGCTACAATAGGATTTGGAGGTTGGAGCTATTACTCATCTGTAGAAACTACTTTTCTTTCCATGCACTGTTCCCTAGATACCTTCCCACAGCTCGCGATACATTGCCCCTAAATTACCTTCACAGAGGTGGTTTCCTGTTCTTTGCCTTTGGCACTCAAACCTGTAACTATTACTATGGCTTTTCTTCTATTCAGTTTGGCTTTTACCACTTCCTTTGCTTCACCTCCCTTTACGCCTTTCAAAAAAAGAATGAATAAAAAGTTCTTGGTCTGGTAATTAAATCACTTTCACAAACGGAAGATGATCTTTTCCAAGTACATTTTAACTGCCCTCAGAATAGCGAATCAATCACTATACACTGTTCTATCATAATAAAAGTATGATCTATGTACACAAGCTGTCACAGGCAACATCTTTCTTCATTCTTATGTTATGGAAAACAGATACACCTTGGAGGAAACACCTGTTGGAGACACATGTAAGAGAAAGAGCTGGGATAGGCCCACTTCATCATAAAGACATCCATCTGGTGTCCTTGCCAAAGTAAAACCTGATGCAGTTTAGTTAACCATCTTTTTAACGAAAGCTCCCTTCTGCCATATGTCTTGCAAATGACATGATCCTTGCAGAAATATACCTTCCTAAAGAGATTAATAAATCATCTACAAAAATGTGCAGCAGTAGCAGTCTTAGAACATGGAAACAAGGATTTGAACTTAACACTTGATGCTGTTAAAGGAAATGACAGTCACAGGGCACTATCCCGGTCTTTCAGGAAAAAATAATCCACATCCTGACCACAAGTAGAAGCTATGTTGGTGAGAATGTTTTCTATTAGGAGATGCTGGCAGAAGAAGTAAGTTGCTCTAGGGTCCTTTAATAGGAAAAGATTGAGATGAGTCTGGGGTTGGTTTACTGGTTATAAGATAGGTTTTTCATTGTCCAAGCAAAGAATCATACTTATGTACTGGAGAAAATAAAATTCTTATTAAACCTATGTGTTGAGTCTGGTCTGTGTCCTCCACCTTTTGAAAATGATGCATTGTATATGTGGTATGAGAAGCCCTCTTGCATCCTGGCCACTAGGGCATTTTGAGGCAATAAAATGGAGTCTCAGCATTCTTGATGATAACTGTCTTTCCTAGGGCTAGTTTTCTGTTAACAGGAAGACAAAATCTTCTGAAAAAATGCTTTAATAGGTCACACCAACAGAAGATGGGTTCTTTCTTTCTTGCATTCTGGAGTCAGTCTGAAGAAAACTTCTCCTTTCCTATGGTTGTCGAAATTTATTGAGTGAAATCTGCTAACAAGAAAATGATAAAGTGCCTTTTATTTCCAAGGGTAGCAGTTAACAAGAGGAAGATAAAAAGATAAGAAAAAATATTTATTAAGATGTTCCAGATCAGGTAACATCATCTTGATTTGGATTCTTCTTGAAGATATTCTGTCAAGGGATGAGATACTTCCATTGATTATAATAGCTAGTACCTACGATTCTTTTCTTATGTATTTGGAGATGCGGCTGGTAACCATCCCTAAAACTCCACGGAAAGTTTGTATATCCTTTCTTTTTTTTAAAACTGGATTCACACTTGTTTAAGTATGTTAATTATTTTGAAATTTATTTTAATTTGGAAAAAATACATGACTGTTGATACAATTCCAAAGTTGAAATAGATTGAAAGCAGAGCTTCAGTATTAAAATCAACAAGTAGAAAATATCATTTTCTAGTAACAAATGTTGTATCTGATCACAGAGTTGTTAAGTCATTGTTTATTAGGTGGTTTGTTGCTAGTTGAGCTTTCTGTGTTACTGTTTTTGTGTTATTGAGTTTGGTTGTTTTCTATGTTACTTTCCCATGTACTCTGGTGAAATTTCAGTACTGAAATTTCAGTATTGAGGAATTAGGAGGTGTTCAGAGGCTTCAGGATCTGTGGTCTGGGCCAGTGAGATGAATGGCGGGAGCTGTGGGAGGTCAGCTTGGCTCCTCACCTTTCCAGAGGAGCAGTGGTGTGGGAGGCTACCCACCCTAACTCCGAGAAGACCTCAGAGTTCTAAAAAAAAACCTCCTTTTTATACAGCACAAAAATAACTGTTCTTACAAGGAATTACAATTTTCTGCTGTTATATAAAAACTTGGGGTCAACTAGATTTGTATGTAATTTTTTTTTTGATTTTAAAATAATTTTCTCATATCTCAGCATTCAGGGATGAGTCTTGACAGGACTCTGTCTTCACTCCCATTCTTCCCATTCCAGTTGTCACATGATGTTCTCGAGGGTGGCACTGAAGAGTTCTGGCCAAACCCTTCTCTTGAAATCGAAGATCACTTCCTTGTAGAACAGTGAGATCCTTGTAGTGAATCTGTAATACAGCTCAGGGAGGATCCTGATATATTGAGTTTGAATGCCCTGTTTGTCTTCGATGACCGTTTCCATGTCAACAGAATCAATGGCCTTCTTTAAATCAATGAATGTTAGACAGAGCAGCATCTTGAAATCCCGAGAAACCCCAATGATCTTGGTTATCATGTGGATATGGTCGATTGTGCTGAATCCTTTTCAGAACCTGGCTTGCTCACATGGTTGTCCTTCATCTAGTGTTCTGCCAATCCTATTCAGGATGACTCGAGTGAACAGATTGTAGATGATAGACAATAGACAGATTGGGCGATAGTTGCCAGTGGCGTGG